TCAATGTCGTTTAATTAACAAGGATAATCTGGTGTTTTTGAGTTGATGAGTAGTGGAGATATCACTGTCAAATCAATCGACAGTAAGGGGAATACTTACTTCCGGGTGTACAATTCTCCGTTATCCAATGGGAATGGACGCTCACATTGCCTTTAAAAGCCTCCGACACAAACGAATGCCGTGCTTCCATGAGCGTCAAATCCCGCCGCAGATGGGAATACATTGCAATCAGTTGAAAGCTATTTGTGTCTGTTTATGAAGCTGAAGGAGCCTAGGAGCGTCCCAACTGCACGCCTCGGGACCCTGACCAAGCGTCGCTCCTGGACGTTTATGGAGTGAGAGTGTGTTGGCGATACATCGGGACAGCGCGAAACTCATCCTGAGCACACACAAACACTCACAGCCGAAGTAAAAACAATAAGTGTGGCTTGATATTGAGTAAGAAAAAGGTTTATAAACGCTGTGAGAATGAGTCTGCGGAGAGCATTTCTCCGTGATCCCAACTCGTCTATTACCAACCAGGGAGCTCTATGCAAGTCAATCGGACTCCCTGTTTGTTGAAAATGTACGCTAAAGGTCCTGGTGTGTGAGGAGCTCCGCGGATTGGTCCATTTTGGTAACAAATGGAAAAAGAGAAATCTCCAACGAGGCGTTCTGGGTAGTGTTAATTTCGTTGACTAAAACTATGACGAAATATGTTCAACAACCTTTTTTTCCTGACTAAAACGAGACGATGACGAGACTGCACCGACGGCAGTAAACAATAACTGTAACGAAATCAACATGCAATATCGTTGACGAAAAGTGACGAGACGAAAATGTAGTTTACTAAATAAAAACTATGCCAAAATCTCTCTTTACTTTCGTTGACGAAAAGTGAGGAGACTAAATATTATCAAAGATAACGTTACATCTCTGATAGTCAGTTTTTCTCCCAGCAGTTCCATTTCAGGTGCTGCGGCTGGGCATCGCAGAAACTCCGTTCGAACATCAAAACGTTCAGCTCGGTCGGGAATCGATGGCTATTACTTTTATCATTCATAACTTTCATAATTCCAGAGATACATCCCATAATTCATCACATTTTTAACCATTGAAGTCAATGGAGAAAATCTTCAGACTTGAACAATCTTCATGCGACTTCAACTGCTAATTCATACTTTCACTCAGAAACCTCATTCCAACTTTAAAATGTTACACATCTTTCTGACATTATTCGTGTAACACAACTTTTAAATCTGATTCTTACTTTTAGAGATATTAAACATTGTTCAGACCTTGGTAAAGAGGCTTTCTTCAGATTTTAACATTAACTAGAGTGCGTGATGTCACAGCTAGAGGGTAGGAAATCTTGAAATTTGCCTTCATATATTTTTTTAAACTGCCATAATTCCCAAACCCTACATTCCTGAGACATAATTTTTCATGACAAACGTAGGAAAACATCTCGTAGCTTGAAAAATGACAAATAATTACGCAAAAATAATTAAACAAAATGCCTCTTGAGGGCATGAAGTGACAAAAACTTTCAACATGTCTCCATTAAAACCCATTGTAATTTCAGGCTGATATTTCCTCACACCTTTAGTTAAACTGCCCAAAAAGTCAATTATTAACCTTGAAAGTACACAAAATTACACTTCCAAATATCAACTTCCTTGACATGCTTCACATTTTGAATTTTCACAGATATATGTTATGTTCTCACAAAACGTTCACATGGAAGAGGTGGATATGTCTAAGAAGAAAAATGCAAAAAATCTAGCGAACGAGCGCAGAGAGAGAGAGAAGAGAGAGAGAAGAGGAGGGAGGAGCAGAAGAGGAGAAGAGAGAGAGAGAGAGAGAGAGAGATAGAGAGAGAGAGAGGAGAGAGAGATAGCGAGTAGAGAGAGAGCAGAGAGACAGAGAGAGAGATGAGAGAAGAGAGAGAAGAGGAAGAGAGAGATAGACAGAGAGAAGAGAGAGAGGAGAGCGCTCGAATCAGATATAGATGAGAGAGAGAGCGCGAGAGAGCTAGCAGAGATGAGAGAGAGAGCGAGAGAGAGATAGAGCAACATAGAGAGAGTAGAGAAGAGATCGCGGAGAGCTATCTCTCGCATCGCGATCTCTATGATACTCTCTCTCTCTCTCTCTTATCTCTATCTCGAGCGAGGCTATAGCGCTCAGATCGGCTCTCGATCTACTATATCTATATCTCTCTCTCTCTACTAGCGATATCAGTATCTATCTCTCTCTCTCTCTCTCTCTCTCTCTCTCTCTCTCTCTCAGCGTATTATGGGGTGTCATCAAATGCCGTTGCCATGGCGACAGACCACTCGCCATGAAACACGATGTCGTAAGTCCAATGGACACGGTCCAATCGTCCCCCAATCTTCACTTGTATATCACCGGTCCAGCCCTCAACAGCTCTACGTCAATTATGGAGTTTCTTCAAATGCCGTTGCCATGGCAACACAATGCTCGCCATGAAACACGGTTTTCTCATAACTTCAGTGAAAATGTTCCAAACGGCCCAAAACTTCACAAGTTTGGTAACGATGCAGCCATCAACGCATCTAAGCGTATTATGGGGCGTCATCAAATGCCGTTGCCATGGCGACAGATCATTCGCCATCAAGTTAGTTAAAAAGTTTGCAGTTCAAATATTCTGCTGCTTTTCCAAGCCTTTTTACTTTATTTTCGTCACTCATCACACATTCAAGCCCCCAGTGTTCATGTATCATTTCAATCTAAATTCTTCACTTTCTTCTTACACATTACATTTCAGCATAGCAGTTTAGCGTCAGCTTTTCAGCATAAAGCATTCCCACTAGCAATTTCTTCAGGAATTGCGTTCTCTAGTTTCAAATGTATCTGATGTGATCATCCACATTTTTTGCCAAATGTCTGCATATGAACAATAAATGTTACTGTCATGAAAATACATTTTTTTGTTTACTGATTATTTGTTGACTACAATTCATTCATCCATGTATAGTATTTTATGTTGTAGAAATAAACGTGAATATCTTTTAAGCTTGTGTTACCATAGACCTTATTTCAAGCATCTACCCTAAAACCTAAAACATAGACTTTGATACAAGAGAGACCTGAAATTCGAAATGCTAACCCATTTCTGTTGTGAAACTTTTTATTTTATTTTACACCTGACTAATAAAGATTTTACTAGCAAAATTATCAAATACTTTTGAAAGTTCAATAAATACAACAACATTAAATGTAATGTAATAATCTAGGGCCCTAATTAGATTTTTCATGATCAGGATATGATGTGCCATAAATGTAATTCCTAAAATGAAAAAAACAACAATAAAGCAGTTTTTTTAATTACATTAAAGTTTCTCCCCTTACTCAGTATTGAGCATCTTTGGCAGAAAGCCCTGGATCTCTAGATAGGCTTTTCACTGCATTGCATTTCACTGCCGTTTCTATTCATTTTTAGAACAATTACTAAATGTTGTTGTTTGAGTGCACTTCACCATATTTCTTTGCACATTAGGCTACTGTATAGGGCCAATAATGATGTTTTATCTTCAAAAATGGCATCCCAGATCTTCTTTGATCAGGACAGAGGAGGAGTGGGTTGAAAGTGTGTTTTTTTTTGTTTTTATCCCTTTCTCGTTCCAGCATTTCTTTTCTTAGACTGTCCAAATCAGAAGACAATGTTTCCATCACAGCTATAATTTAGGCTTTCTGCCAAATAAAAAGGCATGCAATAAAAGCACACAATGATTAAAAGAATGATTTGGGGCTTTGAAATAACCAGTCAGCTCTGGAAACAAGATTTCACATTTTCATACTGATAGCACCTGCTATGCTGCAGTTCAAATAGGAGTTTACATGTTAAAACAAATAAAACAAACAGGTGATTAACAAAACATTTAAATATAACCAAATTAATATAAGATTACAAATATTGAGTGGGTAGATTACAACACATGGAGCCATTCACGGTGCTGTTTGTTTATGCTCACATGGTTTGATGACAAATAAATGCCATGCATGACAACTTTCAAAATATAAAACAAAATGGACCTCTGAAAAATGCTTATAGCTGGAAAATAAAAAGTCAGTGTTTATCATCGCAGGACATGATGTTCTTATTCAAATAGTGTCATGGTAACACTCGTACTTTAGCAAGAAAAATATCCCAAATTAGCCAATCACACAGGTCAACAGGTTTTGAGTAAATAGGTGAGTAACGTAGGGAATTGTAGTTATTGCACAACGTACTATATTTGTTAAGATGGAGGACATATTGATGAAAATAATGTTCCACAGTTATTTATCAAATACCTAAATGTTTTTCAATTTTATAATATTCACAAACTTTTGTTTAAGATAAGAAAAGATAAGATAAACCTTTATTGATCCCTGTAGGAAAATGTTGGGATCTAAGTAGCAACAGCAACAAGGGTGAAACACAGGATAGGACAGATATGAATACGCACAAATATAATAATAATAACAATAACAATAACAATAATCAATAATAATGATAATTATAATATCAATAATGAAAGTAAAGAAGTGCAAGAAATAAAAATACCTAAAGAAATATGTACAAAATATACAGTATACATTAGATTTAAATGTTTTTACACTTGATTAGTTGTATTTTTTATGTTTGAATGCTGACCAATATAAAATATAACTACACTATTCCATTATGCTTTTCTCAATAGTTGGCCTTATTTTAATATCTTTACATTTATGTTACACTGTTTAACTGAAGCCAAGCAAACACAAGCTTTTACATTTTAAACAACATTTAACATTTTCTTATATTTTGCGCATAGATGTACAGAGGAAGATTATAGTCGTTTTTGTGATATTGTTGAACAGACACTTACATTTCAAATTCTCATAGTACTGGAATTTCCCACCTCCATTCCCAGCAAGGAGAGAGATGCAAGCCCATCCTGGCAGCTTCATGCTGTCAGTGATGAGGCAACAGAGGCCTCAGTGAGTATAAATGACAGCACATTCTACTCTCAACCATCACACAGGAGAAGAACTACAAAGAGCTGACAACGGTCACCAACAGATCTGAAGAAATCGAGTCGACCTAAATCAGTCCTCCTAAGATGAAGACATTCTGGGTTGCAGTCGCAGTGGCCGTCATGCTCACTTGTATCTGTATGGAGGAGAGCTCTGCTGTCCCAGTAACTGAAGTAAGAACTTGACTATTTCTATTCACTTATTAGTTTGTGTCAAAATGCTAAAATGTGGCTCCTACTGTAAATGTTCATCAACAGGTGCCGGATGAGGAAGAGCCAATGAGCTATGGCTATCCACTTACTGAACATGATGAGCCCTCAGACGACTCATGGATGGTATGTTAAGCTAACTGAATAAATTGAAATATAAAGCTAATTTGTGTGTTGTCCCAATAAAGTGCCCTGATGCTCCCCAATGAAGAATAAAGAATAAACGGTGAGTAAAGATGCTGCAGATGAACTCATTGCTCATGTTGTATCTCTCACACAGATGCCGTACAGCCCCAGAGCAAGGCGTCGCCGTCGCAAGTGTAAATTTTGCTGCAACTGCTGCAGCAACATCTGTCAAACGTGCTGCACAAGGAGATTCTGAGGATTCCTGCACCAGCAACTGTTGCAAAATTCTGAAGATTCCTAGATTTCATCATGTGCTAGACAACTGATAGTGCAGTGTGTTATACAATAAACTTAAATATGACTATATGAAATTGTGTTTTAATTACAGTAGAAATGTCTCACACACCTGTGAATTGCTACCATGTCAAGTCAAAATGTCCACAGGCCTATGGAGATTTGATGGCCACCACACAACTCATTTCAATGTTGGTAATCCTTCTGGACACAATTTAGTTTTTTCTTTTTATAGCTGTACTAGCTATTTCTTCTTCTCATGGAGATATCAGCTAATTTCATACATCACACTTAAAGCTTAGTAATGTTAGCAGTATATTAGCTTTGGGTTGTGGTGCACACATTTAGTAAACTTGTGTACGTTCACATTGAGTTTACCTTAACTCAGTGTAGTCTCTAGTTTTTTGTTTTTTTCTGAGTCACCAGAGCAGGTGGAGCTGCTGCTGGTTGCTTCTGCTGGAGAGACATATTGGCAAAGAGCAGAGATTTAAATACAGGTAGTGGCCAATCGGAATGTACCAAGCAGGCCCGGTTCCTGAACAAAATGACTCAGGGTGCATCTGAGATTAGAGAGGGTGCAGTGGTAAAGTGCTATTTTTCTAAGTGGGGAGTGGACCTAACACCCTCTAGGGGGGTCCTCACCTTTTTTTTTTTAAATATTGAAGTTAAAAGCATCAATCTGGTGCACTTTGAGAGCAAAATGAAGAGATCTATGGATACATCTCAACATCCATATGAAACAGAACTGTAAACAGATTTACTTTTTCTTTATGGATATTTTACAAATCACTCCCCTTTTAAGACCGAAATGTCTACATGCATAGCAGAAGATGGCATCTTTTTTACATGAATATTCCAGCCAATCTCTGTTTTGAAACCATAAGCTGCTAAATGAGCACCTTACCCCACTGTACAGGCGAGTTGGGTACTTTTTTAAATATACCTGGGCAGGCTCTGTTTTGCCGAGGTCCTCTGGCACTTGCGGGCCGCCGAGGGGTGGCGGTGTTTGGGGCAACGAAGACGGCTGCAGCTGCTCCTCCTCCGTGGGCGAGGCGAGGCAAAGCTGGCGAGTCGGGCGGGAGGACGTTAGTGTCCACGACAGTGGCCGCGGGTAACGTAATGTCCCCATGATCTGAACTGATGCAGTGTTACTGCTGGCGATAAGGGCTGGTTGTTTTAACCATTTAACCATGTCCATCATTGACTGCTGTGTAAGCACCTTGCAGATGACGAACGTGCAGCAGCACAGGTCACGCGCACCTGACATAATAACGTTACTTACCGTTTAAATTGACCAAATAAATGCAGCTATGCATGTTATTTAACCACAATTACAATTTATTTTATTTCAACTATATTCTTCTTCTTATTATTATTATTACTACTATTATTATTATTGTTATTATGTATGTAATATTTTTCACTTTTCATTTTATTTATTTTTTCACTTTTCATTTTTCAAATGAGGGTGCATAACGACTCAACTGAGGGTGCAATGCACCCTTATGCACCCCCGTAGAACCGGGCCTGGTACCAAGTGCTACATTAAGGGGGGGTTGGTATTTTGTTGTTTTGGAGATTTTATTTCTAACAGTCCTTATATAGGTTTGTTGCTGATTTTGTTTTTGTAAATTGCTAACATATCTATACTGATGGACTAAATGTCCCGTTTTGTTCTATTTGTACTTTTGTGTTACCCCTTTCTTTCAGCTTCAGTTCCATTTGTTTAGTTTAGCTTAAGTTAGCATTGTATGAAATATGCTGAAATATATTTTTATTATCTAAAGTTGGCAGCTGTGATTAAAACGAGAGCTGTAGATGTATTACAATGACTTAAATTGGAAATAAAATGAATATGCAAAACGAAAAAAGAAGGGATACTGCAAACTGAGATGATGTGGGACATTTTTGATTTTGCAAGACTGCTATGATGCTTGTATTCAATTTTATATTCACAATATGTTGCAGCTTTGTTCAAAGTAGAACTACTGTATTAATACATTATTAAATGTTTACATTATTCAACACTGTTGAATGCTGTGCCAGAGGAAATGTTTGCACATTGTAGTGAGCTGTGTAAAAAGGACTAAACTGACAATTCCTAACATGACTATTCAAATGTTACACTTAGATATTTACAATGGGGTTTTATTAAATAAAACGGATGTAGGACATTTAAAATAGACTTAAATACAGGATGTCAAGTTAAAAAATGTAAAACTTAATATTAGTTCAAACATTACAAAATGATGGTTGTATTGGAAAATATAAACTTGTAATCTAATAAACATATGTTTAATACAAAAAACGTTATTTTCCTAAAAAACATTTCTGAATTCAGATTCTGTTGAGTACAGAGGTCCTCAGATTCATTATAGCTGATTTCAAACATTTGGGGTTCTGGCCTAATTGGAGAGTGTGTGAAAAGTCGCCAATCGGTCCAGCGGTGCCTGAGACTAGCTTTTAGAAGATGGATGGACAGAAGAGTCATGGGACCGAAAATATAATCCCTTGCATTTGTCCATTCTAGCCTGGCGGGGATAATTAACATTGGTTATTAGTATTACCTGGTGTACTAGGTGTCTGTTCCTCCTGTTGTTCTTGGTGGCGTGGTCGTTTCAGCATTCTCATGCGCTTCCTGACGTTCCTCAAGCGCTCCTCCAGGAAACCTGTAGCAGGTTTGTGATTTCGGCCAGGTGTGTACCAAGCTCCCTGTAAAAGAGAAAATTAGATTATTATTATTTTTTAGAGATTTGGGTATGGAGGAAAAGAGAGAGGGTTGTGTTTTCTGACACTTGGTGAGTTCCCTGGAACACCGGGGACACATATTCATGTATAAAAGACGTACAAAAGTGCATTTAGCATGATAGGTCCCCTTTAAGTTAAAAGCATCAATCTGGTGCACTTTGAGAGCAAAATGAAGAGATCTATGGATACATCTTTCAACACCCATATGAAACAGAACTGTAAGCAGATTTTTCTTTTTGGATATTTTACAAATCACTCACCTTTTAAACTCTATTCTTGTTATTTTTAACAACTTTTTTGTTACTGTCATAACAAACTTTCATTTAGTCTCTAATGTCTCATTAATAACTATAATGATCATATCAAGGTGTGCCTTAACCTCACTGAGCTGAGGTTATTTGAGCCTCTCAGGAGAGAGCTCTCTTCCACCTGGTTGTAGAGAAGCTCTTTAAATTCGTTAGCATAGCTAGCTAACCAGATGCTAATAACAACAGATCGCCACTGTGCTTACAACTAAAGACACAGCCACGCAAACACTGCGGCATGTGTACGGCTCCTTATGGGTACTGGCACTGCAATATTTGAAGAGCTGGAGCGGCGTTCCGGTGCTCTCCGTCAGCACTCTAGTCTACACTCCTTTCAGACGAGACATATACCACGTGAAGACACGTTACGCTCGTGTTGTGTTCAATGAACCTGTCCTTGGCCAGGAAAAACAGGCACTCGCTTGTATATTTATTTTGCGGTCTAGATTTCTTCTTCTTTTTTGAAGTGAGAAGTTGTCCATCAGTCGGACTGACGGACTCCCCCCCACCCCCACCCCCAAAACGAAAACTCTTCGGTTCTCCATGAATTACACAAGTCACCTAAATCAGCGTTAAAAAAGCGGGAAGCGCCGAAAAGTGACTAATTTGCATCACTGAGATTAAAAGAAAAATCCATAGGGTTTAAGTGGTCAATTACCTAGTGAAAATAGAAAATATTTAGTATCAAAACTGGATATGGCCTTCCTCTTTTTAATATATAACAAAATATTTAATAGTAACATCTCAACATTGTCTCAATGAAATGAATTTACCTTTAATCAATCAAGTTCTCAAGCTGCCATGCAGTCAACGTCTCTGTGACAAACGTGTCCATGGTGAAACCCTCACATTACTAGAATGAAATCAGATTAAGTACATTAGAATTTCACAAAACTGTGCAATGTCTTAACATTTATTGTAAGGTACCAAGCTACACATTTACAGTTACTACAGGGGGTCTGCCAAATCTATGTTAGATAGAAAAAAAATGCACACACACAATAGAATGAAATGACGTTTCACAGAAGAAAAAATAATGCTACTTTAGGCACGCAACCACTGCCGAATATAAAGCAATATAAAAGCAGACCAGTGATAGAGCTCACTCTCACGAAAGAACAATCTCTCCATGAAGACATTTTAATCATTCACGATTTATTATTATTATTATTATTGGACCCTGACGTCGCCCCTCGCCATTCACGACCTAGCTGGTTGGTGTGCTATGCTAAGCTAAGCTAAGCTAAGCTAACCTGTGGTAACACGTCGATGGCAGGGAACTAAAATGTTACATTATGTGGTTCGGTGACTTCGGTCACTCACTCCTAAAAATAACTTCAATAGTTGCTAACTTTAATGATTAATGTAATTAATAAATAACTCTAATAACCTAAACTTACCTAAATCAATGAGCTTCTTTCTCTGTCTGTCTGTCCGTGTGTGAAAGCGCGCGCCCGAGCTGCATGCTGGGAAAGAGAGTTGTAACATAAAAGCCATCTGATTTATACTGCCAACAGCTACACTGAAGTGAAGCTTGTACAGTACATCTAATAATTTTGCACCCAAAGCTATATATAGTTCAGACCTATTTATAGCTACTAGTAGAACAAACGTCTTTGTAAAATAATAATTCATCGCATCACAACGTAAATTCAAGGCTCTTTCACTTAATGATATAGCATTGACAGAAATGTAAAACATTTGTAGCTGACGTTAACTGCTAATGTTATACTTTGCACAGTCTGTTAAATGCCATATTACTATTAATACAGATCCCTATTGTGCTGTTATCACAACTCATTAAAAAAATATAGGTTACAAAATTGTATAATTATAAATATAGGTAAAATATAGTGATAAAATATAGGTTACATACCTTGTGTTTTGATGTGAGAAATGACAAAAAGATGGTTCCAGAATGATTCAGAAGTGGGAAAATTAATAAAGCAACCTCTGGGTTAAAAATAACCCAGGCAGGTGTTCAACTGCAATTGAAGCCCTAATAACCCCTTTGACCCAGCATGAACAACCCACCAGTGTGTTTGCAGTACCCAAATAACCCATAATTATGACCCAGCCAAATCAACCCAGCAATGTGTTTACAGAAATAACCAGTGACGTGCGGTGAGGTTCATGGCTGGTGAGGCACTGACTCTTTCAGAGTCAGATTTACAAATATTATAGCCTATTTTGACCTTAATCGAAATATTCTGTTATTTTCAAAAGCTTTTTTAGTCTGATGCTATGATTAATTTTAAACAGACCGATCAACAAAAGGATACCCAAAATCTAAATATTGGATTGTTCTTTCTAAGTAAGATCCCATTTTCATTACAGTTGTGGTCTTACCTTGACTTGAATATAAGTCCATGCTATCCTTCTGGACAACAATCTCTATTACTGTTTTGTAAAAGTCCTGCTTATCTTCCTGTAGTTTCAAAAGTCTAGTTTCTTTGTTGTTTGCGGTAGAATAACAGTAGCAACAAGAACCTGTGGGCTCACGTGCGCCCCCTTCAGTGCGGCAGAGGTTATGGCTGCCTCTCCTGGTGATTTGCCGTTGTATGATGAGACCAACGAGCCTAAATATCATATATACGTGAAATAAGTTATTTAGAGACTATGGATGGCGAGGATAAATGTAATAAAGGGATCTACAAACATTACATTGGTGACCTACAGTGAGATGGGAACAGGCATGCGCTTAGGGCCCGCTTTCCAGCCAGTTTCTGTGGGGTGACACTTTCTGAATTGAGGCAGAGCTCATCTGTGCCTCACCTCACCCCACAGTAAATGGCTTGAGCGCGCTCACAAAATAAGTGGCCGCGCTAAATTAGTGCCCGCGCTCCAGCAAGTTACTGTGGGCTTACGAGAGGCAGTGCTCGTGCCTGCCTCACTTCTCATCGCTCCCGTAGCGGAGCTCGGCAAATTTGCTGATTTTGACTATAAAATGCGATTGGAATCATACATAAATCACATTTACACAAGATCAGTGGAGACATTTTATTATTATTATTATTTAGTTTTTCTTTAATTGTTTTTCCGTTACATTGGAGTATGACAGGGGAGGCTCTGCCTCCCCTGCCTCCACTGACTGCACGTCGCTGGAAATAACCCAGCAATTTTTAGAGTGTAAACAAGATTTAAAAGTGAAATGACTGAAGTGACCATTATTCTGTCAACATGACTATCTCTCGTGTTACATTGAGGCCTTCTCTTAAAAAAAAATGTGTTCATAAATGAAAAGAATGAAACCTTTAAAGTATAACTTTCTGAGGGTGATGCTTCAAAGTGATATTTTAAAAAACAACAAAAATGGTGATTTGCCAGTAAATGTGGAGCCTTCCTGGTACTGTTTGTTGAAATAACAAGTTTATTTGAATCAGGTCAGAAGCGTTATCAGTAAACATGACATGGCAGAAAGAAGGGAATTTTAGTTATTGCAAAATATATTTGAAAAGACTGAAGTTACCGAAAACGTAAATATCAACTTCACATTGCTAGCTTTATTTACCTATTTAGGTTTTCAATGTGATTGTTTTACTACCAGACAATTAAACAAAATAATATATGTTTTTGCTGATAACTGGATATCACTTCAGTTACGTGTCATGTCAACATTTCTTTTGATGTTTTATATATGACATTGGTGTATGCTTTATAGGTAACAAATGCCAAGACATCGAGATCAATTTTGCACTACTAAACATAATGCAGCAATTTAATAAGAAATCAAAAGCATTTAGTAAATTGTTTTTTTTAAATATAACAGGTAACGTTTTTTATTCATTGATATAGATGCTGGGAAATGAAGAACGAGTCAAAAATGTTATATGATATGTTTGTTGTACTTTGAGGCATATCAATAAGAGATTATTGGAAAAAGTTAATAATTTTCCAATAATCTGGAGCAGAAAGAAGAAAATGTCCAGAATTTCCCCTTTTCATTCCATCACATCATTGATGCAAGCCCCTCCATGAAAGCTTATGATGTTCTGTAAATGTCGTCACTGATGAGGTAACAGAGGCCTCAGTGAGAATAAATACCAGCACTGTTTCCTGCAAGATGTTGCGGCAGTGCCCCGGTACCGGGGTCTCTCGGGCTTAACAGGTTAATTGAATTGGCCAGAGTTGCATTTATTTAAAGGGGCCCTAATATGCTGATTTTCACGTTAATATTTGTATGTAGTGTCTCTACTGTGACACGATTACATGCTTTAATGATCAAAAGCTCTTTATTTTTCTCATTCTGCCTGTGCTGTAGAACCTATTTTCACCCTCTGTCTGAAACCAGAGCCCATTCTGCTCTGATTGGTAAGCTCGCTTTCTCTGTTGTGATTGGTCCACCACTTAGAGATGTTCTGCAACTTACTCTATCACTTACAATGTGTTGGAGCGCTAGCCGATAGAAGCGCGAGTGTTACATGGTGATGACATTATGTTTTTACAACAAAGCTCCTAACTTGAATACATTCTGTCGTGCTCACCTTTATCTGTATTCAAGAGAGCTCTGCTGTCCCTGAAGTAAGAAATTGACCATTTAATTTACTTATCAATGTTGGTCAAAATGCTCAAATGTGGCTTCAACTGTTAATGTTCATCAACAGGGACAGGAGCTGGAGGAGCCAATGAGCTTTGACAGTCCATGTAGCTACTGGACATGAGACCTCAGTGGATTCAGTGAAGCTATGTTAAGCTACCTTAATACATTTGGCTAAAAACATTATGCTAATTAAAAACAACTAAATGTGTGTTGTCCCAACAAAGTACCCTGGTGCTGTCCATAGAAGAAGAGATAATACACAGAGGGAGATACTGTATAAGACCAACACATTTCTCATCTTTCTGTTTCTCACACAGGGGCAGTTCAACAACAGAGTGAAGCGTGGAATTAAATGTGAAAATTGCTGCCGCCTACTGTTCTGCAGGAATTTTCCACTGCCAATGTAATCTATTATCAAAATAAAGTTCTCTATATGAAAGTAAAAGTGTTATGATTGCAAATGATTCCACATATCATGTAAATAATTTTCTATTTCTTAACGTAAAATAGTTTTTTTATAATAGTTTTCATTTTTTGTTTGTTTTTCTTATTCTTTATCTTCTTTAACTGTGTTAATGTATGCAGCATGTACACCAATGCACATTCCTCGTATGTGTAAACCTACTTGGCAACCAGAGTTGGGTGTAACGCGTTACTGTAATAATATTACTTTTGTCTGTAACGGAGTAGTGTAACGCGTTACTTTTATAATTCAGTAATCACACTACAGTTACTAACATTTCCCCGACACGCGTTACTTCGTTACTTTTATAAAATCAGTCATAATCACACTGACAGACAAGAGGGGTTTCCGCCTCAGGTTTCTATGTACGTAATCTGCGCGACTTGCACGTCCACATCTCCACGTGCAGTGCTGCATAAACATGGCAGAGTCAGCGATAACTTTCGAGGGGTGGAGGTATGCCCATTATTTTGAGTTCGTCCGAAGAATAGACAGGAATGTGACGGTGAGGTGCAAACTGTGTCCAGGCCAGAAGCTGTTATACACTGCTGCAAACACCACGTCAAACCTCAACAAACACCTGCAAAGAACACATGCTAAGGTGAAGCTAATAGCTAAGGACCCCCGAACCCAGAGTGAGGATGTTGTGAGTGCGCCGCCGCCGAAGCAGAGATGGACAGGCTTGTAGCATCCTTCATAGTAGAGGTAATGTTGCCCATTTGCACAGTGGAATCACCATCGCATCGTTCAGAGATATACTGCGAAAAATACAGATAGCAGGAGACAGAGGACAGCCATAGTCAGAGCCAGTGACGTCGCCTGGCCTGGGCATCCGGGGCTTTAGCCCCGAATGTTTTTTCTGTAGCCCCGGACAATTCTCCCTCAATAATATAATACATTCAGTGGCGTTTTTATATGTACAAAAGTGGTGGGGCACAAAAAACTTAGATGTCTATATATAAGCTTCTGCAGTGACGTGCAGTGAGGTTCATGGCTGGTGAGGCACTGGCACTGACTCTTCAGGTTTACAAATATTATATTTTGACCTAAACCAAAATATAATATTATTTTCAAAAGCTTTTTTTGTCTGATGCTTCGATTAATTTTAAACAGACAGTTCAACAAAAGGATACCCAAAAAATGTCATTTTATCATTTAAATATTGAATTGTTCTCTCTTAGTAAGATCCCATTTTCAATAAAATGGCGGTCTTACCTTGACTTGAAGATGAAGTCCATTTGCCTATCCTTCTGGACAAACATTTCTATTACTTTTTTGTAAAAGTCCTCCTTATGTTCTTGTAGTTTCAAAAGTCTATCATAAATCTAATCCATAGATTTATGATAAAAAAATTATAAAAGTAGGGTAGACATGTGGATATTATCCGGCTGAACAAAACGTGCATTTATCTAACAGGTACGTTTCCCACAGATCTTATTTCGAGCTATTTTCTAAAATCCTCTG